ACCAGACTGAGCGAATCCACGCAGTGTTTTGTTGTTAATCCATCCCAGACACTCTTGACTAAAATGTACTTCGTCAACATGGCCAGAAATGACCCTTCCTCTCCACTAACCCCATTTTTGAGCTCACTGCTGTAAGAGTCACTGTTGAGAACAGAGGGAAGGAATCTGCCTTGAGGTGCCTGTGCTGCAGCTTGTGCAGATGCCCTGCACTGTGGCAGCCTCTGCAGGGACAGCAGGGGTGGCTGGGGGCTCTCTCCAGGCTGCAGGGCCTGTGCTTGCTCATTCTCCACATCTCAGTGCAGGCCAATTGCTTTAATCTTTTGTACTGAACTTAGACAGCACGTGGTTAATATTCAAATTTTACAGCCAGTAAAAGCTTGACTGACTCTTCTTTACACCTTGTGCAACAGTAGGTCTTCCAAAGTGACATAGGAATGGTATTTCATGTAAGGAGCTCTGAACAGTTGCAGACAACATGCAACGGGTAAGAATCAATCTCCATTATAAAGGGTTGTATAAATACCTCAAGCTCCATTTTTATGTAGAATTCCAGTGCTCAGTCTTTCTATTTTTTGATACCGTGAATGCAATATATCAGCCTCTTTTGCAGATTTCTGGATCACTGAGGATGGTTATACAAGTGCTTGGAACGTGCTCTAAAACAGCAATGCCAAAATGGAGTTGTGTCTCACTTCTCAAAGATGACTTGCAACAAAAGGGGATGGGCTCCAGCAATGCTTTTCTGTCTTTTGGGAGACCAGGAGAGCACCTGAGCTTGTGTTCATCGATGTACATAGCCCATGCAAGGCAGTTTGTTTAGTGGAGTCGTGTAAGTATTGTTAGATAGCTTAGGATATAGACTTACTGAAATATTTTTTCTTAAATGCATCTTTTTGTAACAAAATGGGGATAGCATTTCTTTGCCAAACACTGCATAATTTGCTGGTAAAGGAGAACTTTTTATAGGAGAACTGTAATAACAAAAACGTTGGAATGACTGGAGTAATTTTCCAATCTGTGCTCCATTATGTCTTGAAGCCTTGAGTTGTGTAGTTACCCTACCTTTTAAAAGATCTGTTTATTTAAAAGTTTTGTTTACCCAAAGTAAAAGTAGTGTCAAGTACTTGATGAGTATAATCTTTGAACGGTAATTACCAATTTAATTTAAAAAGCCATCATCTCTCCTGAGTGCCGTTAATAGCTGATAGTGAGCTGAGCCTCAGTAATGCCTTGGAGCAGGCAGGTAACTCCAGCTGGCACTCCTGTCCAAGACGTACAGCAAAGTTCTCCTGAAATAAATTTAATTTCTGATTCTTTTTCTGCATTTGAGCCTAGGGCAATAAGCAGATGCTGGGGATCTTTCATGACTAGAATCTTCCTGAGCCATCCTTGCAAGTTCCTTACCTGTTCTTCCTAGAGATAAGAGCAGTGTTTGGCTGCATTGGCCTATTGTGTTGATTCTGGCTTTATGTGTTTAAACAAACAAACAAAAAAAACCTAAAAAAAATCACCACCGTCTGTGCCTTTTCTGGGAGTGGTTTGGGGATAAGTCGTAAGAACAGAAAATGATTCTGGCGATACATTTGAGGTATCTTTGCTAATCAAAAGATCTTCCTGTTCTTTGTATGTTTTTTTTTTTTGGTGTGCGTAGTGTTTACGTAGAGTTTAGAGTGTATTGCATAAATATTTCAAATATTTAGCTATTGCTGTGGCTTCAGTGTTAATTTAACACCAGAACTGTGTGTGGTGCTGTGGAAGGTGACAGATTTTTCAGATTAGCTTAAAGTATTTACTTGAAACTGTTTGCATAATATGATGTTTGTAAACTTAACAACTGGGTAGCTTATATCTCACTTGACTGCATGATAGAGCTTGATAGGGCAAATATGCAAATATTCACAAATAGATTGTCCTAAGAAGTTGTAACGTGGTTTGTTATTCTAAGTAGCTTAAGAGGTGATGAAACTACCGCTTCTCCAGTGATATCTGTGCTGTCCTTGCATCTGTCAGTGTTTAAACAGAGTTAGCTTGTTTTCTAGGTGACTGTATTCTGTTCAAATAAAGTCAAACTTACTTCTGAGACTGCTTCTGATATGACCTCCTTTAGGAATGCTTCCCTCTTCATCCAGATATTTTACTTGAGAGTTACAAAAGCACTCAAATTGAGGTGAAAAACTTCTGATGTCAAATTTGACAGCTGCTTGTGGTTTGGTATGGATTTCTTTCTCTTCATAACCTCAGGAATAGGGACAGTACTTCTCCACTGGGCTGTGAGAATGACTTCATTATCGACTGCAAGTGTTCAGATGAATGGTTTGAGAGGCCCCAGAGCTGTATGGGATCCATGGATAACAGAGCTAAGTGTGTACAAGACAGTCAGACCAAGGAGTTAATGCACTTGGGTACTTCATACGTGAGAGAAATTGTGCAGCTTCAGACCAGATTAGATTCTAGGACTTCAGTGGCTTTCATTTTCTTTAAAGGATGTTTCCCATTACTGTTCTTCTCTAGTAAAAGCTGTCCTCATTTTCAAGTTTTAATTGGCAGTTATTTCTATTGCAATATGAAAATCCACTGAAGTAACGTGATCTAAGAGTACCCTTCACCGGCTTTAATCTGCAGGAAATTCAGCTTCACAAAGTTTTTAGAATATTTCTGATTTTACACAGAGAACTGAGCAGCTTGCTATTTTTATCTGTGTTTAATTTGGCATTTGGCTTTCCAGTTAAACTGCTGCTCAGTGCACAGTAAAAGCTGCCATCAGCCAATTTATTGCAGATTCTCAGAGCATACTTTAGTGGGGACCTTCAGATGTCACCTCCTGCTGACAAGGGCCCTTTGAAAACACCATTACTCATGTAATTGTTTAGGCTTTCACTTCATGACAAATACTAAACTTAACATGCTGGTGTTTCTTATTAACATTTTGCTCCAAGCTCAATGCAGCAGGAAGAAACAGCTGCTTATTTGTAACTACTATTTTCTAAAACAGTAACAACACAACATAATTAACATGTGCCAGATGATGCTGCTACATGAAATATTTAGCAAAAGGTTGGGCATGTAACCCAGACAGTTTTAATCCTTTTATATCTCACAGCATCTGTTTTGCCTGGTTAGGACCCAGCTGCACACAAATCCACAGTTATGTAATAAAACCACTTTGCTACGTCCTGCACGTTCAAGTGGCAGCTCCTTCAACACTGTTAGCGGGACATGAAGGCTCTAAAATGCATTTACTGCAGGGCACACACACTCTGCTGACAGAAATACAGATTTTACACGATAAACCTATGTTAGGAACACCAGGTGCAGTGCAGTGGTGAATCGGACCAGCTGTCATCAGAAACCACAGAGTTGCAATTTCAGTACAAATATTGCCAAGGAATTTTTGGAGCACTCAGAAAACGCTAGAACTCTGGTGTGTCACAAAAAGAATTAAAACAGGGTTCTTTTGTGCCCTGCTTTGGGCTAAAATATGTTTTTTATTTACTCCAAAATCTTGGCTCGACCACTGCATACACAGTGAGATTTTAGAATTAGAGCCCTGCTGCATCCTTTCACACATAATACGTTTTGATTGTGCAGGACAGGCAGCACACACACGGATTCTCACTATATAAAATGACCATGTTTACTGCAGGGTATTCAGATCAATAGAAGGGTGCTGGAAGAAACTCCTGTGTAAGCAGCCTTTTCCTGGCTGCAGAAAAACACGAGTTTAAAAAGGGATTCAAATGCTCCAGTATTCCGTTTTGGTCATTGAGAAGGTTCACAGTTTACACAGAGAGATGCACTATTTTTCTGTAAAAGAGGTTTGACAATTTACAACGTGCTTAATGAAATCTTGCTACTTTGGGTAATGCTCATTTTAGGAAGGTATAAAGTTGCTAAAATTATTTGAGTTAAATAAGGACCATTTTCCTGAGGAGAACAATATCTAGCACTTTTCGTGTTGCAGCTGATTAGCACTATGAAGCCATTTAGCCCTTCTTTCCAAATCTTTTCTCTCTGTGAAATATTTATCTTAGTTGTAAAAAATGCATTAATGCCAGCTGCTTCTATTTTTCTGTGGCAATGTGTACACCGTGCATTTCCATTAGGACAATTAAGGAAAAATCACTAATTGAGTTTCACAGCTTGTGCATTGAAAGTTGTCTTTTGTAACAGATTCTATTTATCTGATACAGAAAAAAAGGTGGGTGTTTTGTACAGAGTATTTATATGTTATATATATGTTATATATAATATATGTTATATATAATATATATGTGTTCTCTGTGGTTTATATATGTTATTATATATTATACATATGATGTGTATGTATATCTACAATATACATACAGATGGAAATATCATAGGTCTTTGTAGCTTGCATCAGTTCTCCTATTTGTGGTTAAAAGTTCCAAAATATTCTGATTCAGAAACTTTTAAAGAATCCTACTGATTTGGAAACTTAAAAACCAAACACCAGAAAACCAACAACCACCACCAAAAAAAAAAAAAAAAAAAAAAAACCAAAAAACCCACAAAACCCCACAACCAAAAAACCTCCTGAGTGTTTCATACGGAACGGAAATTAAAAGGTAGTTTAATTTTCCTTTTCTTTTTCGCTAGAAGCCACCGAAACTCACTCCCTCCCGCGAGCGCGGTGTGGAAGCAGCGGGCGTTGGCCGGGCTGGGTTTGCCGGAGTTTTTCGCGGGGACGAGCCTGAGGGAGCGGCGGTACCTGCCGGCAGCTCCTGCGGCGGCACCGGCTCCGGGAGCGCCTGGGGCAGCCCGGGGGGGTGTGTGGGGTGCTCGGGTGTGTGCGGTGTTCCGTGTGGGGTGATCGGGTGTCTGCGGTGTCCGTGTGGGGTGTTCGGGTGTGTGCGGTGTTCCGTGTGATCGGTCTCGCGGGGCCGGGACCGCCGCCCGCGCCCTGCGCTGGTTCCCGCCCCCCGCGCCCCCTCACGGCCCCCGCGGGGCGGGGCCAGCACCGCCCGCTCCCCGCCCGGCTCCCGCCGCTCCCGGCTGCGGGGCTCGGAGGCAGCGGGGGCCGTGCCCCAGCCATGGCCGGGCGCGGAGCGGGGTTGCGGAGCTGCGGCCGCGCCGCCCGGCTCCTCCTGCTCTTCCTCAGCTGGCTCTGCGCGCCCCTGCTCGCCCAGCCCGGAGCTCCGCAGGCGGGTGAGGCGGCGCGGGGCGGCCCCCGCGGGGTGAGGGCCGGGGAGGGGGGTGAAAGGCGCTTCAGCAGGAGTCGGCAGGGTGTGGGAGAGGGCAGGGCACGGCCGGCCGGGGGTCAGAGCCCTCCCGGCGCTGTGCGGGGCCGCCGGGGATGGAGGGGTGGTACCGCGGCCCGGGGGTTCGGGCGCCGCTGCCGCCCCGGGCTGTGCCCGGCGGGGAGCGGTTCGTGAGGGGAGACGGGCGGCATTTCGCGTGTGGGGGGAGACGCCGCCCGGCTGGGGCCGCCACGGACCTGCTTCGCTTTCCACGGCGTCAACTTTTGGCCGAGGTCGGCTGAGGTGGGGCTGGTGCCGAGGGGGAGCGGGTCCAGCGGGGGCTGAGCTGGGCTGGGGGAGCATCGCCGGCTTCAAAGAAAAGGAACGGGACCTGCGGAGACCGCGGTCAAACCCCCTCGCCAGGGCTGCCCCGGGCACAGGGAGGGGAAAGTGCCTCTGCCAAACTACGGCTTTTCAGGTGCACATCGGTCTCGACTGACACACATTTCATTACACAGTGGTCATGCTTTCTAAATGCGTATTGTGATGCACTTTAAAGATTTCAGCTGCCACAGCTTTTCAGTTTTTGCTCTGCTCACTGGCACAGTTTGCAGGTTTGAGTGCCTGCAGCTGGTACGGAGGTAAACTTTCAGAATGTGCTTTAATAATTGCAGTTTCGCGTGTGGATGTGACTGCACGTGAAAAGAACCCTCTAAAGAATTCGTCACAGAACTCTCGTTAGTTTGGTCGTGCGTTATTTGTTCGACTTCAAAAGAGTCAGTCTCGTAATTCAATCAGGATGTAACTTTCCGAGCTGAAGGATGTAAAATAGCATGTGAAGCTGGAGTGTTTATGGAATTACACAAAGATTAAAGGATTAAAGGAGCAAAATTGCTCGTCAAAGATTTATTTAGAAACAGTTGTTTTAAAGCATTGCTTGTATATAATTTAGGGGTACCTTGCTAAGAGTTTTGCAGAATGTCCTGAAACCATAACTGCCGTATTTACAGGCAGAAAGAAAATGAATGAAAAATTAATTTGACTTTTTTTTTTTTTTTAATATTAATTCGAAATTGAAAAAGTGGTTGTAAGTATGGTTTATGGAAAATTGATTGTGTTGATGTCTTGGTTTTAATTCAGCTGACAAATACTCAGTCTGTTATTGCTGAGCCTGACTTAAAAGATTATTCTTTGTCTCAGCGTTTGGAAAAGTGTTTCTCATCATGAGAGAAGATATTGCTGTGCAAAATTATTTTGTTAGCTTATATGATTTGTATGACTACATGTAATTACCCACAGTCAGGTTAAGCCAAATTGGGCCTTTTGGCACAAGCCAGCAGTTTTGACTTCGTTGAGAACTGACCATGCATAGTGAGGGTAACGTTTTCTTTTCACAATTTGTTTGCTCTCAAATAACATGAAATTTGCTGTAAGAGTGCTTGTAAATTAATTGTGGTGTTTCATTAGCAGTGAACTAACACTTTATCTTGGATAACTGTGAATTGTCAAGGCAAAATACTTGCTGATTTTAAATACAATCAAATTATAAGGTTTGTTCCTTGCACTGAATCTTAAACTGAGGTGAGACTTAATGGACTCAAGGTTACCAAGCACCTCTAGCTCTGCTGTGCTGCAGACCTGATTCTTAGAAAGATTCTTAGGAGGAAAACCATGAGCGTTGAATCGTGGAGAAGTGTCTGTGTTGATTTGTAGAGGGGACTGTGGGAGGAAGTACTTGCAGTTTCCCAGTTTTTAGAACGGTAAAACCCATGGTTTTTGTGGTATGTTCTGAAATCCTCTACTCTGTATCTGGTTTTGAGCAGAGAATCTGATTTCTAAACAGAGCCTCTGATTTCTGAGAGCTGTGGGGTTGCGTGTTCTGGTGTATCCACGGCTGGAAATGAGCTGGGTGGGCAAAATGCTGCTGTGGCAGAAGGTAACGCCAGTGGCTGCACTGGCAACTTGTGAGAACCCCCAGCCTGTGCCTTACTTACAGAAATCCTGGGTTTGTGTTCACTTCCCTGATGCACAGCCTCTAAATTTATGTGTGTAAATGGCTCTACTTACAAGATTCTGCATCCTTGTCCTTCCTGTTTCTCCCTGCGCTCTGCACTTGGATGCACCCTGTTTGCTGCTTGTTCTCGGCATTTCTCACTGCTGTCTTCAAAATCCAGTGTTACACTTCAAAATTCCTCATAGTTTCATGTCCAGTGTGTGTCATTTTATTTTGCTGCTGGTTGGGCAGAGGTTGATGTGTGAGGTAGGAGAGAAGGCAGAAATCCTCCCAATAGCTTGAAAACCCTGTGTAAGCCACCTTTTCTGTGCTTGTAGGTGTAGTTTTTTAAAGAGGGGAGTAAAAAAAAGAGTTCTGGGGAGTTGAGAATGTAATAGCTGGTTTTTCTGAGCCTTTTTCAGGAAATTGGACGGAGTTAGTAATGCTGCTTTGACTTACAGACATCCTAGGAAAGATGATTTTGATCTCTCTAAATGCTTGCTGTTAATTAAACTCTGGCTGTTTGTGATTGGGTTCTTGGCAATTGCTAAAGCACGGGAGGAAAAGTAGGCCAGAAAATTGAGGGCCATGCAGAAAGTGTGAGTCATGGTCCTGTTAAAAGGGAAGGGGGAGTCAGTGCAGAAATAAAACTTCCATTTTGTGCTTCATTTACTATATTACATGTATTTGCTACTTAATGAAGTAATGGTGGGAAATCATCTCAATCAATATGAGTGTACTGAAGGCAGGTGTAGTGTATATATTCATTCACCTTCCAGGCTTGTAAGAAAATTACCAGTTGTAGTTTGTGGTAATTAGATTTGTGGATAACAGCCTACATGTTATGATAACACACAGTTAAACAATATAGTGTTAACTACAAAGTATGGATATTTTGCAGTGTTTGTTGCCCTTTTTCATTATAATGGTATATGGTTATAAAAGTACATTAGTAATATATATTATTTCTGAATCTACATCTTAATGTTAGGCTTCTAAAAAGCGACCCTTTCCTTTTTCCCCTGGACCTCTTTTGAAAATGCACTGGGTAGTGATGCAAAGAAATCATTAACACTCAGTTTTGTCAATTAGCAAATGCTTTGAACTGCACTGTTTAATGTGCAGGGACCAGCAGGACACCTGCAATCCCAGTGGGACACTTTAGCTAAGGGAGTGCAGAGGAATGGAGAGTTCAAAGAGAGCTCATTCTTTGGGGCAACCATGAACTGTGGTGTTGTCTCCTTTAAAAACAAACAAATATTTATGAAAATACAGCTGAGAGAAAGCTGCAACACTGACAATTTAACTGGGAATTCTTATACAAAGAACGATGCTGCCAAATCATATTAAGAAGCTAAGATATTTAATCCCATAATGGTACAGTAACAAACAGCGTAACAAGGTGGATTTTACAAAAGAAGAACACTTCTGTAATTTATCTGTGGCCTTTAAAAAGTCTGCCATCTGCAGCCCAAGTGAAATTTTGACTTTAGAATAAGATGAATAGACATGGGCGTGTTTTGTTGTGCTGCTCGTGCATCTGAGACCCCTGTAATGCTTCCTCCTATTTTCCAAGTAGTTCTTCCAAAGTGCTTTAATAAAAGGAGTTGGTGAAGTGCTTAGGGAGGAAATGGTAGAACTGAATTTTTAAATACAATTTTGTCTGAGATCAAGTGTTTAATTAGAATTTCTACTTAACCAAAGTGTTTTCCTGTTACTTCAGGCCCTAACAAAAGTGAAGCCACCCAAATACAGGCAGGCTTTATAACTGCCCTTCAGAGGCTACAAACAAACCTGCAAGTTTATTTTAGCACGTGGAGCTCGTGGCAGGGGCGATGCTTCCATAATCTCTTGCCATCTGATTTAGGATGAGATTGCCCTCTGGGTTGTTGGTTTGCTAATCTTGCTAGTCATGGGGTTTTAACCTCTATTTTTCATAATTATTCTGCTGCCTTAAGCCTCGAACTGTGTTTTATCTGTTTTCTTCTCCTCTGTACATTTTTTTTCTGCTTGTCATCAGTTCTTCACAATTTTGTTACTGATATTAACACAAAGGATAACTAAGAATCACACCCTTTGTTGTAATTTTAAAAGCATGTAGACAGTGGAAAAGAGAAATGAAACACCTGCAGTCTATGCAACAAATGAGTTGAGTGGTCCTGTTAAATAAAATATGCAGGGTAGGGGTGATTACTTATTTTATTTTAATTCCTGAGACACTGTTACCATTTCCAGCCTCCCCATGGAGCTCTGCTTTGTATGAGCAGTCTTTTATAGACCTGCATGCCCCAGCTTCTTAATAAACAGAATAAACTAGAAATGTTGAAGAGTGGGGATATTCCTGTGATGATAAAAAAAGGAAAAAAATAGTCAAATTATATTGTTAGTAAATAATGGTCATTGTAAATGATCAGTGAGTGCGCTGCAGGTCTGAGTGTGAAATGTTTGGAAAAAGATCTGTAAGAATATAAAAGCAGTAAAATAACACGTCCCCATTTAGCAGAGCAGAGAAACTGCTGTGTTTTGAAAGAAACTTGATCTGGAAACAACCCACACCCTGAAATGCTGTCTGGCTGCACAGGAGGTCATCTTACAGCACACAGGGATGGTGAAAGTGCAACTTTGCCTCTGCATTGCTTCAAGGTCAATTAATGCAGAGAGAATATCCAGCTGCATAGGCAGCCTCAAATTGTACCCAAAAATGCAGTTGAGAGTTGTAACTGTAGCAGGGAAATGTAATTAATGCTAATACAAACATCGAGTATTTATGAAACATTAGGCTGAAGTATACACAAAGCCATCCATAATTCAGGAAATGGGGATATAGAAAGAGAGAAATTAAATTGTGCCTTCAGGAAGCGTTCTTTTGGGTGCCTGTGACATGCAGGGCTTGGCAAATCCGTGCATAGTTACAAATAAGGACAATTCCTTGGCTAATGAGGGTAAACCAAACAAAATAAAATAAATATATTTTAACCTCACAGCTGTGAGGGCAGCTTGTAAGTGTGCAACCCTCTGTGGCTGCATCATTTAAATACTAGTATATATTGGTCACTACTTGCTCTACTTCTGTTCTGTTGACTAAATTTACCTCCTCTCCAAACAAAATAATGTTAAGCTTTTAAATCTCTCCATGTTTGGATGACTGTCTTCTGGTTTTAATCTGTTTATGACATTTTTCTGGTGCTTTTCTGTTTCTGATACATCTTTTTTTAGATGGATGCTGTTAGTGAGCACATGATTTCTAGAGAGGTCATGCCATGCATTTATGTAATGGCATAATATTTTAAGTCTGCATTAAAAAGAGATGCTGGTAAACTCCTTTCTTTTGTTTGCTCTTTCCCTTAAAGTGAGAATATTAATTGTTAGCTTTTTGGCAGTAGTTTCAGTCAGTTCAGACCTCATCAGTGAGTAGTAAAACAATCTCTGTTTAGAGCATATGTTTGTGTTTTCTGGTGGTGGTTCTGACTTTTGTCTGGGAATTGGAGACCCATTCAAGGTGATGTGTGTAGTTTGTGCTGATTCTGGAGGTTTCACACCACATTTGAAGGCTGTTCCTCCTGAGTTACTCAGCTGGACAATGATCTCACCTTTTCCCCCTCCTCTCTCTCTGTATCTTCCCAAGTTTCTCCTTCTCTTGTTATTTAGGGCATAAACATTTGTGTGGGTTCCCAGAGTGGGCAAACCTTAGACTTTACCTCTTTTTTTTTTTTTGTGTAGCAGGGTTTCTTCTGATCCACTTCAGTGAGGACACGTAGGTAAAACCCAAATTTTTCATGGATTCCCAAAGATAAAAGGACAGCAGTTGCTCCATGAGGTGCTGGAGGACAACTTGCATAGCTCTTTTGAAAAAAGTCCAGATTTACATAAACACACACAAAACAGTGTGTGGGGGCAAAGTGCTCTACAAGCAAGTGCAGCAAAGCTTATTCATGATAGATCTGTCCAAACATTAGAAGAAATAACATCTAAAACATGAAGAGACTGAAGTTTCAGAGTGGATTGCAGGTCATGCAGTGCACCACAGACCTGCACAGTGTGGGTGTAGTTTTTCAAAAGCACCACTTGTTTGGGGAATGAGGGACTGAAGCTCTGTCACAGACCAGCTGCCAGTTTTAGAGGACATCTGTAGTGGCACCAGGTAAATGGTAAAGTGCATTTGGCCTTTGCTGTCGCTCAAATTATCACACAGATTTGAAAGTGTGATAATGGTATAAAGATGCCAGTAAAACCAGGTAACTTCCTAAAATTCTTCTCCCAGAAGCCAGGCCCTGCTTCTGGAGAAGAGAGGATGAGACATTTAACTCTGCATAAACACAGCAGGAGCTCTTTGCACATAAGAATGCAGATGGCCACTGTTCACTTCAATCAGTGGTAATAAATCCCTTTTTCTGTAGGTGTGTCTGAACCTTCTTTCATCGCTAAAAGTGAAGATCGTTTGTTCAAGCATTTATTTGAAGACTATCAGAGGTGGGTTCGTCCAGTGGAGCGCTTGAACGACACAATAAAAATCAAGTTTGGCCTTGCAATCTCCCAGCTGGTAGATGTGGTATGTATAGCCAATAAGTTGGATGGTTTTTTCTCACTGACTTTAAGATTCTAGAACATAATGTCACGTGAAATAACCGTGCATATTTTAGCTTAAACACAGTGGGTTAATCCTCTAAAATTATTGTCAGTGTAACTAAAAAAAATGCACTGTGGATGCATGTGTGATGTCCTCATATAAAGATATTTAGTGACTGGAATGCTTTCAGAAGTGTGGTTGGTATTTTAAATTACAGACCTCTGTGAACTAAAGCAGCCATTTACTCTGAGTGTTCTCTGCTGGTTATTTCTTGTAATTTCTTGGTTTTTCTTTGCTTTATAGGATGAGAAAAATCAGCTGATGACGACAAATGTGTGGTTGAAACAGGTGGGTGTAAAACACTGATGGAAAATTCTGAAGCTTCGTAACTGCAAATGAAAACGTGGAAGAAACTTCTCTTGTATATTTAAAAAAATGAGTTGCTGCATGAATTTTTTACTTCACACATTATATTTTTAAAATGTCCCTAGAAATGCTTTAAAGGATTAATTGTTACAAACCTCTTAAAAAAACGTAGCAAACACACGGAAAAGGTAAATGAAAGTAAGGTAAATAAAAATTTACCAAATTAAAAGAAATCTGAGGCATGGCATGTATCCAACCACAAGTTGCTGTCTCAGTAAATAAAAGTTTTCATTCCAAAGCTTTATTTAGAAGAGTATGGGTTGCTGTAGTGTTCTGTAAAATAGCTTTGAAGTTTTCTACTTGTGGGATATTTGAGATTATGGCATAAACATCACTGAAGAGTTCCAATTTCAAAGTTATATTTGCTTGCTGTAAGGAAATATTTTTTTTCCTCTTAAGAATATTTGGATTTGGGCAGGAAAAAACCTTAAGCTTTGTAATAATCACAGTCCAGTGCTAAGCTTAATTGGCAGTATGAACTTGGGAAATGCTGCTCACAAGTCATTCTTGATTTAACTTAGCAGAATATTTGCAGACCCCTATTACATCACTGGTTTTGTTTGGGCTGCTTCATTACCCTTTGGTTGGTTGGATTTTTTTGCTTTGTTTTGTTTTAATTTTTTTCCCTGTTGATTCCCATTCCCTTCTTTTCCAGTAACTGTAATTTCTAAAGGGTCAGTTTTTATTTTCAGGGAAACTTTGAGACTGCTCAGCAAATGTATTGATGGTAACACTTTGTAGCTCTCTTTAGTAGTTTCTGCAGATCTTATTGAACCAGTTGAACCATTTTAAATAAAATAAGAACTGACCTGTATATGTGTTCAAAATTCTGTTTGATGGTGAATTCTTAGAAACTTAAATTCTTCCTCTTGAACTTGTGGTTCAAGTGTAAAATTACCACAAAACACTACTGTGCTTTTAGTGGTGCTATTTTTAGTGTTAATGGTGGAAATCAGAACTGCCTTTTAAGAGTTCCATCATGATGGAATTTTTTATCTGTGGTAAAAAAGTCTAAATTGCTTCTGATTACCTTCCAGTGTTCGGTATTGATTCAGAACGAGCTTTTTTTTTTCCAATTTAATTTATACAGTTCAATTATGTTATAACAGCCCTTACTTATGTATACATGCTCTGAAAAAGGAACTTCACATCTAAAGTTCTGCACAGAAATACTGTCAAGTGGCTCTTACAACAGAAAACAAACACTGGGTGAGGTAACCACATGACTGCTCAGCAGATTAATTGTTTTATATAAAGATTTTAGAAGCCAGTTTCATTGTTTTGATTTGCCTCATTATCTGTTTTCATCTGGTGTTGCCCTCCTTAAATCCACTCCCCACTAACACCGATTTTCACCTCTCACATCCCCGCAGGAATGGATAGACGTGAAACTAAGGTGGAATCCCGAAGACTATGCCGGAATAACATCTATCCGTGTCCCCTCAGATTCCATCTGGATTCCAGACATTGTGCTCTATGACAAGTAAGATTGGAATCTTTTCATAGAAAATGCATTTATTTTTTAACTTTGCTGTCCAAGCTGGTTCTTGGGAGGCTCATTGGACTTGTGGACATTTGGGAGAGCTGAGGTTGCATGGAAGGATTTGCCTCTGGATGCAGAGGGACTCTGTTGCCAGGTTAAATGCCAAATGTTTTGCTTGGCTTCTGTATGGCATTTCTCATCTCTTTAAAAGGTTCATTTCCATTTCTTCACAGAAACTCCCTGTTAGAAAACAATGTCTTGCACTGTGCTGGGGACAAATAGTGTAGGGTGATAGGAAGGAAACAGCTACTTTATACTGTTATAAGTCATATTCAGTCAGCATGGAATTGAAATTAAGTCCCCTCAGCTTTAAGGGGGGAAATTGTGTTGGTTTTGTGATGTTTGGGTTTTTTTCTTTTGAAAATCCCCGAAGATCAGAAGCAATAACTTTTGAATTGACCTTTCTGCTCAGCTCAGGTGCATGTAGAATGCTTTTTTACGTTTCCTGACTTGTTGAGTCAGGATAAAAGGCTGTTGCAGTGATTGTAAATTCAAGTTTGGAGGTGGCAAACAAGTGTTATTTTCGCTGCTTCGTGACTTGTTTTTTTTCTTTGATCGTTATGATTTGGCCAAATTGAAAAGTGCTTATGCTGCATTACTGAGAGAAACCCCACACTTGGGTCACGCTGTTGAAGGTCAGGACTTTTACAATCCTTTCAGAAGTCATCAGGGCCACAGAAAGTTGCCCAGACTTTTAAATTAACGGACTTAAAAATAATTTCCACTCTTCCAAAGCTGTTTGCCTTTGTAAGATTCAGATCTAACAAAAAAAAATAAAACCTGTGAAGACAGTACAAAATTTTGGCTGTCAAGGGGGATAAGGGATAAAGAGCTGAAATGCCAATAACAAAGCATATTTTCCTACTTAAATACACCCCCAGTCCCCCGTTGTAATTGCAGCTCCTCTCTTCTTTCAGTGCAGATGGACGTTTTGAGGGAACATCCACAAAAACCGTGGTTAAATACGACGGCACCATTGCTTGGACTCCACCAGCCAACTATAAAAGTTCTTGTACCATCGATGTGACCTTCTTCCCCTTCGACCTCCAGAACTGCTCCATGAAGTTTGGGTCCTGGACTTACGACGGCTCGCAGGTCGATCTGATCCTCGAAGATTACGATGTTGACAAAAGAGATTTCTTTGATAACGGAGAATGGGAAATAGTGACTGCAACGGGGAGCAAGGGAAACAGGACTGATGGGTGCTGCTGGTATCCTTTTGTGACGTATTCATTCATAATTAGGCGTTTGCCCCTTTTCTACACCTTGTTTCTCATTATCCCCTGTATCGGGCTGTCATTTCTCACCGTCCTTGTCTTCTACCTGCCTTCGAACGAAGGCGAAAAAATTTCGCTTTGCACCTCAGTCCTGGTCTCTTTGACTGTTTTCCTGCTTGTCATCGAAGAAATTATTCCCTCATCTTCCAAAGTTATCCCACTCATCGGAGAGTACTTGGTGTTCACTATGATATTCGTGACCTTGTCCATTGTGATAACTGTCTTTGCCATCAACATCCACCACCGCTCCTCGTCCACGCACAACGCGATGGCACCGTGGGTTCGCAAGATCTTTCTTCACAAGCTGCCCAAGCTGCTCTGCATGAGAAGTCATGTGGACAGGTACTTCGCCCAGAAGGAGGAAACGGGGAAGATGAGTGGCTCGGAATCGTCGAGGAACACCTTGGAAGCAGCCCTGGATTCCATCCGCTACATCACGAGGCACGTGATGAAGGAGAATGAAGTTCGGGAGGTGGGTGAATTAGTCCTGTTACACTGATCTGCCCCAAGTGGAAATCAGAAAACCAGGTGATGGTTTACTGTGCAGTGGCCTATTAAAGATGTGCTGTGGATTTCCAGGGTCTGTGCTCCCCTGAAAGCTGTGTAACTGTTTCCACTGGCAAGAAGTGCGAGTGTGGTACAATGCTGAGAATTCTTGTGGATATTGGGCTGATACAGCACAGTCCTTGGGTTCTTTAAAAGTCTTTTGCTTTCTTCTAAAAGGAGGTTCATGTTGTTAGTTCCACACTGTGAGGCACTTGTGTGCTGTAAGTGTTCCCTACAGAGCTGCTGAGATGAGGAGAGAACGTGTTTGTTCTCTTGGATGTTACACCTGAAGGCTCTCTGAACTGTGCCTTATATTTGCCTTATCTTTTCAGAGTAAATATTGCCAAGCCGTGTTTCTCACCTTTCAATTCCAAATAAAACAGTTTCAATGCTCTACCTTGTATTAGTTCAAACAAAAGCTATAGCCTGGTGGAGGTCATTTTGTGCTCAGATCAAACATGGATTAGATGACTTCCTAAGAGTTCTCCTCTGCCCTTTTTATTATTTGTCTCTGAGTTATATCAAAAGATGTTAAAGGCTTTTTTTCAGTCTGTGCATTTGCAGTTTGAACTACCCTTAGTGGGTATTTACACCACTTGGGTAAGAGCACTATGAATCTGTTAGCTTTACATGCTTTTTAAACTGGCACCACTAGTAAACCAGAGTCTTAAATGTAATCTTCAGGTTAGTGTACAAATATAGAAGTTTGTGTGTGGTCTCATGATGCTGCTGCCTCTTTCTGATGGCAGGGCCTGGGATTATTTCAATTTATATGGAAAAGGCTCTCTTCAGAAGCTGCTGATGGCTGATAGTGTGTTCTCACATCTAGGAATAAACAAAGTCCTCTCATGTTGCCTTTTCAGGACTTGATTTTGACATTGTCACAAGGGATCCGGCCTAGATTCTTAATAAATGTGTCTGCTGTGCTGTGAAAGCAGCATCTGATAGCTCTGCATTGTATGAACAACAGAAATAGGAGAATTGGCTATTAAATACTTAAATAATTTTCTGTATGTTATGGGTTGGTTTTCTTTCTCCTGTGAAGTTACTGCATTTGGCTGTGGGTGACAAGAGAAGTGAGAAGTATTTGGGTTTTCAGGTGTGATGTTTTTGTGACTCTAAACCTCAGAAATGAACATATAGTTGAGTGGGGATTCACTTGTGTTTTATTACTTGGGCTCCAGAGAATGTGCAGGCTTTATTTGCAAAAGTTGTTAATAAACACTACACAGCTAGAGCTGTTGTAGCCTTGCACCTTGGGAAGCATTAGGCCTGGGAAATGTGGATAGCTCCAGTTCAAATCCAAGACAGTTGTTTGGCAGGGCTTTCATTTGCATTAATTTGGGAGGTTTAGTGGTTTTTGTTCAGGTGCTAGAGGGAGTTGTTGTTGTCTCTCTTTTTTTTTTTTAATAACTTTTGTTTCCAGCTCCTCCCTGGGATTTCCACTTTGTGCTGTCACGTGCCATGAATACTGCAGTACGTTAGAAAATGCAATAGCACTTTTATCTCTTTATAGATGAGGATTTTCAGTGCTTGTCAGGGTTGGTTTCTGCATTAAAATCTAGTATCGGTCTACACAGCTTACCAATCTCCACAGGGGGAGTTTGCTCCTGTTCGAGCTCAGACTGTAATCATAAAATGCTATTAAATGTTGAATGAAGTGCACTTTGAAATAATTACAATTGCAGGACGTGGCACTGCATTTTCACCTGTTCTTGCTCACACACTGACCATCTCTTGTGCTCTTTTGTTTTCCAGGTGGTTGAAGACTGGAAATACATCGCTCAGGTGCTCGACCGAATGTTCCTGTGGGCTTTCCTTCTGGTTTCAATCGTTGGGTCACTTGTCTTGTTTATTCCTGTTATTCACAAGTGGGCAAGTATAATAGTACCTACACATATAGGCAGTGCAAATGCCTGAAATATTTTTGGGGCTGAAATATTTTCCTGCTGATGTGGCTCCCAAGAGTTGGGCAGGAGCTCTGTTTCCATGCACGTTCTTTGTAGGCATGTTTGTGATAGAGCGAAAAAAAAACAAACCAAAACCAAACATTCCAAACCTAGAAAATTAGGATTATGTTAAAGCATGGCATTCCTAGGACACATAGAAGTCCATTTGCTTATTGCCAGCCTACTGAGTTACTTCTAAGCCAGGTCAGAATTAAAAGAACTTTCTCAAGCACTTGCATGTGTGATAGATCAAAAAAGCATACGCTGACACCTACTGCAAAACAGGAGGATTTAAAATGTTTTAATAGTCCAATTATTAAATTACTATATGAATTGTTACACAGAGTATTATATTTGCAGTTACCTGCACAGTAGAGTTGCTTATTTCAATTTACTGTAGTATAAAAAAGGAGAATTTTTATCAGCTCTCTTGAATGTGTTGTAAAAGTATGAAGTTTCTACAGAGTAATTTAAAATAATAGTTAAAATACAAATTAAACTTCCTGTATGTCCGGTATCCAACTGAAAATAGCGGTTTGGCCACGTTTTTGCCTCTATAAATTTTCAGTGGAATTTGCTGCTTAAATTTTAAAGCTTGACAATTCTGTGATACTCACATGAACATTTAATAAACCTTCAAATGCCTAAAGCACATCTGTGTATTGATATCTCCATCAGCTTTGGGAAGGAAGGCAAAGGCAGTTAAATGAGTTCCCAAGATGCTGGAACGAGGGCTGGAACACTCAGAGTTCTTTATCCTTGATGAAGAATTTGATACAAGACTGTGAGTTTTGCAAACCTGATAATTTATTTCCTGTCTCTGTGTGTTTCTCAGAATTAAGTTTTTAAGTTTGTTAATATTAAGGAATTTTGCGGGGAATGTCTTTCTGCAGGAAAGGTCGTAAATTATTGTGCCATGGAACCAGATAGAGATGATTAAATTTTCATACATTTTTTAAACTGAACTTAAGAGAGCTGCCTTGAGTAGTAGGTCCTCTTGCTTATTATTATTATTAACTGAATATTTATTTCAAATTGTCTTCAGCTGTAGGATTTTCTTGGGGTTTTTTTAAGGCTCATAGGTGGGGAAATGATGCCAGGCAAGCCTTTTTTTTTCTTTTAATAACAATTTATAAATAATTCTGATTGTAAAGGGGAGTTACTCTTCTTCAGCTACCCAGTTACATTTGGCATTGGATGTCCAAGTTTCCTCTCCTGCCATCATAATTTTAAAGGTGAGCTTGCAAAGATGATCTGATTTAATCCATTAATGTAAGAATTTTAACTTTCTTGGTATTACTAAGACTAAACAATGCATCAGTGACTTCCTCTGTGTGGAAGTTGCAGGAATACTTTAGGAAACTTCTTTCCTGTTCAAACACAAGATTTCCTTTCATAGTCTTCCTTGGGTTTGAATTACTGAAATTTACCTAAACAGAAAGCCAAGTAAGTAAAGAAAGTAGGTTAGAGAGATATATATCTCTCATTTTTTTAACTCTCCACCTTATTATCTCTTTCCCCTTGTTAAATGATGTCTGTAGACTGCCCTGCTGGGCAGCACGTGGCCCAGTGGAGTCACAGCCCTTAGAATAATTCACCATTTTTGCAAATGCCACATCTTTGAGCCACTTCTGCAGTCTGATCATGATAGATTTAGAGCTGACCCTGGAACCCTTGGGGTCTGCAGCTTGTCAGGTGTGTCTGAAACAAAAGAATGTTAACAAGACTCAGAAAAATGCACCTTGATCCTGTAACTTGTACTGAATGTATTGACCTGTAGGCAACGCTACCTTATCTAGGTTTTTGTTACCTGGTCAAAATAAATGGAAAAAAAAAAGGCACCGTTTTCCACAGTTTGATTCTCTTTATTTTCATAAATGTCACACCACTTGATACACTGTATTTCCAAAAGTTTTTCAGTTTGGTACAGAGAGAACAGTTGATATTTTTACAAAATATGTTCTCATCAGGGTATTTTGTCGCATTCTTTATTCATGCTCTTAAATAACTTGCAGTTACTGATTTATAAAAAAATGAAGGTATATATGCCTAAGCAGTGATTTTTAGCATACTTTACAGGACTATTCTGTGTCTACCTGCCTTCCCTTGGTTTCCTTTCATCACAAACCTGCCCACAGTGTGGGTCAGGTGGGGACATCTGCATTCCAGCATTCCAGCAGTTTGGTACTTGTGCCTCCCCAGCCATTCCATCCACGTGGAACTCTTGTTCCATTCACAGAACTCATTATAAACTTCTTCCAGAAGGTCCTGTCGTGGTCTCGAGCCTCTTGGTGCCAGACTGGTGAAAAACAGCCCAAAGCATTCAACCCATCTCGACTTTCCAAATATCCATGTAATTTTCCATGTCTTTATTCACCCCTCCCTAAACCATTCCTGTAAACTTTATTGTTCTACCTACATCTTTTCCCAGGGTGGCAAGAAGTAGCTGTAAATCACAGCTCCTGTTCCTTGGAAATTAGCTGTCACAAAGGTTCCAAATAATTTCCTTTCCCACATTTTTAAACAAAAGCCTTCTTGGTCAAGCAGATTTGAAAGTTCCTTATTCTGCTGCACATGGAAGAGACATGGGGGTGCTGGGGTGACGATACAGAGTTGGTTGGCAGTTTTATTTGATGTCACAACGTGTGGTTTAATCTTCACATTTCATCTCCAGCCATCAGAGGCTGTAAAACAAGCCTGCTGTTCCTAGAATACACACCAGGATGAAAACCCACAGGAAAATACGATCAATGACCATGGCAACGTATTTCCAGTCATCCTGAATCTGGAAAAAGGGAAAAAAAGAAAGAAAAAGAAAAAAGAATAGCAAGTTGGCATGTTTATTAGATGAATAATTTGCATTAGCAAGTAGTGCCATTTTGTATAGGAAGCAGGTTTATGTAAGTTTTTCTCTGTGTAGATGTCTTTCACCTACACAACTTACACATTTTCACTGACAAATGAATTCATCTTGAAGAAGCTTTATTTGAACGTGCTCTTTGTGGCAAAGCCAAAAGCTGCTACTTCAAACACAGAAAGTTTTTCACCAAGACTTGAGGAGATACAACTTCTCTATGCCAAAAATGAAAATGTGAAGCTTTACATCCTCAGGTGAAGAGGTTTGTCCAGAAAACTTTACTGAAGCAGAAACTGAAACTGCTCCTACTCATCTTTAGGCAGTATATAAAAATCAAAAGCTAATTGATATCTAGTTACTTGGTACTTTTTTTGGGTAGTACTGAAATTTGATCGTTCTCATGCATGGTGTAAAATTTATCTCTGTACCTTTCCTGGGGAGGAGGTTTCAAAAAACCCAGGTTTTTCTAATTTTTTTTTCTTTTTACAATGAGTGTTATAACAAGAGTGACACTGAAATATTATATATGCTATGTATTAATAGTAACCAGGTGATTATTTAGTTATGGCTGAGATTGCAATTTAAATTTTTATTTTGTTTTTCTTCAGGAGCGCTAATAACTGAATAATGCATTAGTTGCTTTTGAAATTTGTGCTTTTTAGCTTACAACTTGTTTGTTAGGGCAGACTTAAATCCCAAAGTAGCCCTGTATTTTTTGTACCATTTATTTAAATATAAATAAAGCTCTGATTTCAGCACGAATGAAGTAAAGTTAGAATGAGGTTTAGTGCTGTACTGCAGAGGGTTTAAATCCTGTGATAATTGTGGGGGTGTGGCTACTGCTCATAACATGTTGGAGGAACATGACAGAGAGAAAGCTTTCTATTTTTGTTTCTTTATTGCACTAAGGTGCAGCTTTATGAAAGATTCTAGTCCCAGTCTTGCAGCAGTCGCCTGGTGTAGCTACAGAATTTACTCTGCAGCAGCAACAAAATAAACAATCACCGCTAGAAGGGACATGCACTCGTGGTTTTGCTGCTGATGGTAAGCTGTGGGGGGGAGAATGTAACTTTCCAAAGGCCCCAGAGTCAGGAAATTGCACTATTAAGATTATGACTTGGAAAATCCTGATTTTAGGTCTGGTGTGTTCCTCCAGCAATGGTAACCTCAACGTGCCTCACTCAGTGTTTATACTGTCAATGAAGAGAGTGTTGTGCAACAGAGCTGCTCCCCAGTTATAGAAATTCAAAACTGCACATACTTGTAAACAGCTTGGGTAATTTACTTGTGGAAAATAATGGTCTTTGTTGTTTGGGGGTTTTTGTTTGTTTGTATGTTTGAGTTTCTTTTCTTACAAAAGACTCTAATAATGAAAGGTATCAGCGGTTTGAGTAATAGTAAAGTCTATTCTTACCTCTTTTGCTTCATTCTGCATTTTCATGTTTTCTGCAATGTATTTCACACTTTCAATAGCGTCTCTCATTTCTGGTGACAGAACTGAAAATGAGAGCGTAGGATCCACAGACTCCGAGCTCGAGCTCCTGGTGAGATTACCACTGAAATCCGAGAGCTTGGTGCGCTGGCACTGGCAGCAGCTGCACGCCGTGTCCTGGCACGCAAAGCCATCTTTGCAGCATTTGGCTTCGGAGCTGCTGAAGCAATTCAGGTTGGAAAGCTCCGAAGCGAACGGTGGCTTTGGCTTCTGGTTATTGTCCTCCTCGCTGGCAGGCCTGGTCATGAACATGACCCTGGGAAGTAAGTTCAGGAAAATGGTTCTCACCCACACGGGCATGGTGTGCGTCTTGGGTGTTCTGTAGTGCACGTTCAGCACAAACACCGTGATGACAATTGACAGAGTGACAAATATCATGGTGAAAAGGAGGTATTCCCCGATGAGGGGGATGACCAGGGATGTGGAAGGGATGGTTTCTGTGATAACGAGAAGGAACACTGTTAAAGACAGGAGGACTGATATGCAGAGTGTCACCTTCTCACCGCAGTCTGAGGGCAAATAGAAAACTAATACAGTCAGAAAAGAGATCAGCAGACAGGGAATAATCATGTTGATGGTGTAAAATAAAGGTAAACGCCTAATGTAAAGAGAATATGTGATGTCTGGGTATATCTCTTCACAGCAGTTGTACTTGATGTCATGTTTATACCCAGGAGCTTTAATAATAGCCCATTCTCCACTCTCCCAGTAATCTTTCAGGTTCATTGTGGAGCCAATTA